AAAATGTTTAGAAAAGTTAGATAACTAGGTAATATTAATAATACGATTATTAGCATTAATAGTAATAGCTTCAGCAGTATATACCTACGTGCAGTATTTACTTCAATATATTTAAGGGTAATACATACATAACCAAACTAAATAGAAAAAAACTAGAAGCTTTGCACATAAATATTAGTCAAATATATTAATTACAATTTATGAGCAATTTAAATTATTGATAAGGTCCGTCTAAATATAAAATAACAATTATAATCGATTATTTTATTTGTTTTACTGTGATAATAAAAATACTAAATTTGTTGGGGCTTAATGTTTTGAAGGTAGGCAAATTATCCTCTATCAACAACCATTATACTGACAAGAAAACTAGTTAAGAGAACTACAGGTGTTGTCAGCAGGTTAGCAGTGGTGTAAAAATTTACAATTATTCAGCTCGTATGCTGGGATGCCTTCTTTAACGCATTGCTGTCATTGATATTTTTGTAGATACGAACGTCAATATATCTAAAAATCAACGATTCTATACGACTACATAAATAACGTCGCACAATTTCACTTTAACAGCATGGCTAACATAGAGGAATACAATCTGGCATTGGCATGATCATATAAGATTTCATAGTTTGTCTAATTTATTTTTTTTATAATTGTATATTATATGAGGACAATGGACTATGCCATTCGGACAAGAATGTAAACTTTTATATACTTTTTATACTTGACGTAATTTGTAATAGCTAATTTTTAACGAAGTCTTCAAATAAGAGAAGGTCCCTTAATTGTGTTTTGTCTAGAAGTGAAGTAAAATATATTATTTCATAATATTTTTTAGATAAATATAAATTTTACTAATCAATGTATATTAATTTTCTTAATATTATGACTATATTATGTTGTTTTTATATTTCCAGGACAATCAAGCAAAGAATACGTTGCATTCATGTGCCTGCGCCCCCCGTCTGGCCACAACACCAGAGCCCAGCGAATCATTCATACCCAATGTATATCATTCCCACTATTTATCTTTAAGGTTATTGTATTTAATCGTTTGCCTTTAAAATTTACGTAATTTACGTTTCAATTTAAAAAGTGAACAGTATTTTTTTGTCAAATATCTTAATTGACATTCACATTGCCGCGAAAGTGACCGAAAGCGATGCGTGTACGAAAGTATACGAAATGAAATTTCGGTTTCGTTTGCTGGTAAATGGTTCGTTGGAAATTAAACCAATGTCCGGATCGTATCAAAATTGGATACGCTTCGTTTATTCGGCATTGTTACTGAATATGTTATTAAAAATCTATTTATATGTTATTTTGTGTATCGATGTTAATTACTGCATTTATTTGTTACATTTTGTTAAAGTCGCTGTAACCTGTGATTTTTAACGATGTATTTTTTTTTACTTTATTTAATTTTCATACGCATTTACTAATTAAAATCATGATTTAGTTACATTAAGGTTGCATCGACTTTCTAATTATTTATACGTAGGTATTATATTTCTCAATATCATAAATTAGTAAATTCGTAGATCATTTCGATACGTTAACAGATATATAAATATTGCTGCAGCTAACCATTGTACTGTTATACAGATATCGTACATTCTAGATATATGGATACAACGTCTCGAGCTATGACAAGCTTCGTAATATCGTCATAGTATGATATCTAGCAGATACCATCACTGTGATACAGTATAGTGAGTTCTAATAAATCATAAGGGCAACATACACGTGTTCAATTATACGTGTTAGTAAGGCTGCCACATTCCTAATTTAATAAGTCTTAGGTAGCATGTTAAAAAAAAAAACATTCTTTCGTGACTACCTATTCCATAAGCTCTGCCCACCAATTTTTGTAATATCGAATATATTTTTTTTTTTCAATAATTATCATTAACATTGAAAGAATTAGTTCTGGCTTCACCAAGTTAATTTTATGTGCAAGCTTAGTTAGGAATTATTACGTAAACGTTGTTCAATCTATTAGCGGATAATTCGGAATGTTGGCAGCCCTAATTTATGTTACTACTTGAAATAACTGCCGTGTTTAAATTGTAGTGATACGTGTTGCGCCATCTAGTGACGCGCGGCCAATCGATTGTCGCCTAACTAGTGATGTACGGTCGATGTATTACCGTCAACTAGTGATGGGATCGTTATCGCCAACTAGTGACGCGCGGTCAATCGATTGTCGACAATCGAATTACCGAGAAGTCGACACCGGTATCGAGTTGCATGCGAATGTGAGTCACTTCGCAGTCGGGTGATCGAAGTGGACTCATAAGGGTTGGCTGGTGAGAGGTCCGAAGCCGCCGCCGCCGCCCATCATATCACGCCGCGTGACGTCGCCCTAGCAATAATGTTCTATTACAATTTGTAAAATTGTTTTAAACTTTCGAATGTGTGATAGTAGATGCAGTCGTTGTTTAGTTAACTTTAACATTATTAATAAAAATAATTAATTAATCGTTATTGTGAGTGTAACTTTTTAATAAAGTGTAAGAGTTTTCAATATTAGTGATACAGATTGCGAAAGTTTCGACGCTTGTTCGCGGACGGATTACATACAAATTAATAGAGGATGAAACGTACTTATTGAGTTTTAGTTTATTAAATTTTAAGATCTTCGTTGTACAGTAAAACATAATGTAGCCGTTTTAGCTAGGGTAAATTTTTTAATAAATTAAAATTACCTTATTACCAATCAGCAATACATACATATATGTAGATGTCGGGCAGTGGTTTTGCGTTCGTAATGTAATCGTAGAAGTACACCAGGAAAAATAAGCACCAACATACTTAGCCTAAAGTTTTCCTAATGTAATGTTAATGTACGGAGGATATATCGCCGGAGGTCGTGGACGTGTCGTGTCCGCGTCGTATCCGCGAGGAGTCAACGGCACTAAGTGCGATGCCCGCGGGCGCGTGTCGTCCCGCTCGCGCCCGCACCCACCTCTATATAAGGGACTCGAAGCAATGTTAATTTTAACATTAATAGCGTAATTAGATTTTTATTCTTAAGAGTAGGTTTTCATCTAGTCGCCTTCATGACATAATAGGAATTAGGGAATTACCTTTTTCTCATTAGCTTCGTTTTAGAATGAGGTGAGACGCGCGTCTTCCGCTCGCCAGTCAATTGTGTCCGCGAGCGAGCTCCCCGCCTCTCCCTCTCTCTCGCTCTCTCGTCTTATGTAGGATAAGTATGTCGCCGGCCTCGCGCGAGGCTGGCGCGTCTGGACACCAAATAAAGTTAATCGTAGTAGTTGGAGTGCGTCAGATGGACACACGTTCGCACAAGCCGCCCGCCGCTCGGGCGGGACTCGTTTGTAAAGTTGGCCCTCGGCCCGGACTGTAGACAGCTTCATGATGGTCCGCAACCGGCCTCGTGCCGTCGCTGGAGGTCACTGTAAGTGTATCGTGTTCGAGCGACCGGCTCGTCGCCTCGCAAACGTTTACTTGTAACTTATAACAAATCTCATTCTTATAACCGCATAGATATTTTCATAATCAATAGTGTGCATATTGTTATCGGATTGCTAATTTTGTATATGTACACAATTAGTATAGTTTATATACTTATGTGTCAATTCTTATAGTGTTTTATTACATTAACAGATAGCTAATAAGTGTTAACAGTGAGCAGAGGAGCGGCTTCGTTGAAGCTTACATAATCGTCAGCGTTCAGCATTGTATAGCCGGACTCGTGTGCCCTCACTCGTATTCTATCTCAATAGATACCCTCGTACTTTATATAGCTAATGTAACAAATTATCTATTCACGAGTTTATAATCTATTCCATGTTATTAGGTCGGCTGTAATGGAGGAAACTCAATTGATAACCTTTCTGAATTTTTCTCGCTTGTGAATTTAATGGACAACGAACATACAGATAATAATTTTAAGAAACCTTTAATAAAATTCATTGGAAACTAATTAGGCAGGTTCTCACATAGCACTTCGATTTCGGCACTCGTTTGCCCACTTCTTTTGTCCTAATAGTTTTACTGCTATCAATGACACTGTCCTAATTAGGTAACGTGAGGTTGCTCACCTCCGACTTCTCTAACACGAAGACAAGTATTAATAATATAATTAAATACTAAGTAATTGAGACTCTCAGACTTATTAAACCTTCTTGTTGAAACTGTAGAGTCGCTAGACTTGATGTAGTTTAATATTAAATTATCAAACAGCTTTGTTCTCTCTTTATAATCGATGTCGCTTGGCGTTGGATTATGTAAAACATTAAAATTTATTAAAGTTTATAAATTATTTTAAATCATGTTGTTTTTATACATGTTTAGTTTAGACGAAAATGTTGAAATAGATATTAGAATTGTTCAGATATGAGTTTCTTGTATGTTTATATTTGAAATGTATTACAAGTTGTATTTATAATATCCCTTTTATGATAAATTATCCTGCATTCTTGTTATGTAACTCTGATACAAAATCTATAGCATTATTACAGTTGAATTAACAGTAATTGAATTACGAATTAACAGAGAGGTTCTGAAAACATTGTGAAATTCAAATTAGATTGGTTTTATAGTCATATTCTGTATGTAGGTTATCAATCTGAAATTCTCTCATAATTATAAAATAAACGGTGTTTTCTGCTGTAATTCTTGGCTTTTATTTTAACCTAACTGCCCATTTTATAGTCACACCCTAAAAACTCATTATCTTTTTGAAGGTAAGTATTTATAAAGAAGTAGAAGACATGTTAATAAAATTGTTGTATTAATTAATGATTAGAGAGACAGTTTTTAACATCGTTAACACATTTATTATGGTAATTTTAGACCTCTACAATCTAAACAAGACAACATACAAAAAATTTAACGTTTGCTTTATGATAACAAAAAGTAATATTTTGAGTTACTGTACATTCGAACAAAAATCTACAACTTTGTAGTTTTCGAAGAAAAATATGGCAACAATCGTTATGACATTGACATCAAAAATGAATTGACAAATGTCAGTAATTCAGCATCTTTGCTTTGTGTATATCGGTGTAAGAAAACCTAAAAAGTCTTACAATTTGTTGGAATCGTAATATTTATCGAGTAGCATTTGATTACATTTCAAGATGAATGCGCCACCGACATTCGAGTCATTTCTTTTGTATGACGGAGAAAAGAAGTAAGAATATTTTTAATTTGCTTATAATTTCAATAAACATGATCTGTTTTGAATATTTCGTTTGCTTCAATGATTAGAATAGTAATACATTAACATAAATTCTTCATCACTTTAACATACTATAAACGTCCAAAACCTGCTCAAACTATTATAACTTTTACAGAGTTCAAAAGGAAGAAGATACAAAGGTGACGAACGCAGCTATTTTCACTGTAAACAAGGAAGATCATACTCTTGGTAACATGATTAGACAGTAAGTATAATATTCATTACATTTTAAAAATATCTATTATGTTTTGATATATTAAAGAATCCAGTGATTTATAAGTGCTGTCAAATGGAATTGCAGGCAAATCATTCACATACACATTCTAGACATTACATAACTAAAGGAAACAATTACTCATTTTTAAGATCATACTTTATTGACTATGCTACAAGTCTAAATTCATATTGTACAATAAAAACAACTGACAGGTAACTAATTTCTTTTTCATGCAGCCAACTTCTGAAGGATCCTAAAGTATTGTTCGCCGGTTACAAAATTCCACATCCATTGGAACATAAGTTTGTATTACGCATACAAACAACATCTGACTACACACCGCAGGAGGCTTTCATGAATGCTCTCACAGATCTTACGTCAGAACTGTCTCTGTTTGAAGAAAGATTTAAGGTTTGTATCTTTATGCTGTTAAGTTTTATATCTTAAAATGTAGACTGCCAGTGACAAGTATCATACACCATACTTATAAAATGTTAATGTTTGGATAGATTAATGTTTGTTACTACATACCTTCAGAATGAGTTATTAGATCTCGATGATTTTGTCACAAATGTAGTACATAGTTTGGAACAATGCATATTTCTTAATTTTTTCTCAATTCTATGCATGCAAGTAACTAGCTTTTTCCCGGCTTAATATTAGATTTTGAGTAAATAAACTAGTTACATGTTAAAATTATCTATATCTATATTATACTATTATAATAAAGTGTAAACACACACTTCTTTGTTGCCTAAGATGTTGGCAATTACAGTATATTTTTGAATAATTCCTTTTTTAATAAAAAGCCCTAAACTTACGTCAGGCCTTACGCTATATATTTTCACGCCATTAAATATAGGGAGTCAATATTTTGGATAAAAACCCTAATGTGGGAAAGAGACCATAAGTTGCTGCCAACATCAAGAAAGAAAGATTGCCAAGGTTTGACATTTGCTATTGATAATTTGACAAATGTAAACAATGAAATAAAATTTTCATAATTTCATGTGGATGAAGCCGCTCGGGAACAGCTAGTTTAAAATAAATTTAGTGCATTCTATGAGATTGCACATGTTGCTTTGAATATCATGAGACCAAGTGTAATGAAGACAATTCTATTATTCCGTTGTTAAATAACAAGTTTAGTGCTATAAAAATACTTAACATGCCTAAAGACAGAGGCTTTACTTCAACACCTTACAGTAACATAAAATTATGTAACAGTATTGTGATGTTAATTTTTTATTAAAACTTAATTTAATCTTTCTTTTGTTTCAGGAGGCAATTAAGGAAAAGAAGGATGGCTTAGATTAAATTAATTTTACTGGATAATTTGTTTATTTATAATAAATTTTTGAAATCAATAACATATTTCATTTTGTTAATTTACTATAGTTTATATTTCGGAATAAAACAAGACTTTCTTTCATAATTTTATTGCTTTTAAAAAAATTTCACTATATATTGGTGTTAATTTGAATCATATTTTGTTTACAATACAGAATAAAACCATGATTGGGTTTGCGTAAGTGCTCATTAAAAAATATTCCTCAGTATGCATTATATCCAGATAATGCGCAAGAGAACATAACAAAAATAAAAAGACAATCACCTGATTTATTTTAAAATAACATGCTAAATTAAAACTTAGATAAAAGATCAAAGATCTTATGTACAACATTTCTAAGATATCAACTACTAAACAAGTCGTACCTGTAAATGGTAAACAATAAATAATACTCGTGCCAAGAGTAACAAACAACAAATAACGGTAACAATATAACTAAATTTCAATAAATAGGCGTTAAAAAGTTTCTTCTTCATCACAGTTTTCAGTAGCGTGGCCAAACACTGCAACAAACGAAAACAATTATAAATTAACAAAGAGGTCACATTTTCATAAAATGCCAATATTTTTTAGCTTTTGTACGAAACTTCGTTTGCACAAAATTAAAAAAAAACTTAAGTAGATTTTGTAGATTAGATAGATGTAGATTTAGTGGTTTAGTTATAAAGCAATAGCTTTGGCCCGCGACTCTATCCGTGCGGAATTAAAAAAAAAAGACTCCATATTTATCCCACATTTTATCCAGAACCGTTCAACAGTTTAGGCTATAAACTGTAACATTCATCCATCTGTACTTTTGCATTTATGATATTAATATGATAGTAAGATTACTGTCCAAATCATCATCAACTTGCCCTTATCCCTTATGGAGGGCCGGCACAGTATGTGCTGCTCTTCCATGCATCTCTATCAGCCGTCATATCCGAGTCCAAATGTGAACCAGATATAAAAGAAAACTTGTGTAAGGTGTGTTTACCTTCGCATATATCGCAGTATGGTCGCGGCGGCGGCGGCGCGCACGCGGGCGGCGGCGGCGAGGCGGCTTGTCGCGAGCACTCCTCCGTGTCGTGTTCATCGAACACATCGCATATGTCACAGAAGAGACGCGGCGCGCGCGTCTTGCGACCGTTACTACCAATGTTAAAACATTTATAATTACATCCTTGTCTATTATAGTGATATTTCGACACACTCTACCAGAACATTGGGGGCTATACATTATTCAAAGTCACGAAATTGACAGACAGGACAGTGCATAGATATACAAGTGCAAGACAGAGCTAAATATTGTGGGTTTATAAATGAAAGTGGAATCAAATGTAACCATACAAATTAATTTTACATATAGAGTAATATGGCCGCCGTTGCGCAAAACTAGTAGTAACTTAGCTTTAATTTACTATTGTATTATTTGTGCAAAAGTATTAAATAAATAAAAAGAACACTTTAACAAACAAGGTGTAAGCAATTATATAGGTAATAAACTTACAATAATGGAGGTTCGTTTGGCGTAGTTCCCCCCTCCAGCGCTTGCACTCGCGCCATTAGCTGCTCGTTTTTCCGCTGCATGTCTACTATCACCGAATTCAAAAAGCTCACTTGTCCATCGATAATTTCCTTTTCTTCTTGTACACTTTAACAAAGGAATTATTTTACAAAACAATCAAGAGTAAATTAGTATTGAATATTAGATTTTCTTACTTCATAGTGGCATTGTCGCCTTGTCCCAAAGTACCCATAGCGTCGTTGTCATTTTTGTCTCGAATATTCTTTCCCATCGTACTCATTTCTTTCTGTATCATAGCCTTCTCCCTTTCTGCAACTTCTGCTTTCACTTTATGACTCTGGAAATTTAAAAGCAATTAATTTGGAAATTCTCGATTCTCATCTAGACCTCCAAGAGTATTTTCGTTACCTTTAATTCTTCTTGTAATTTATTTATCATTTCATCTTTTTGTTTTAAGTCTTTGATTTTTTTGTCAACTTCTATTTGCAGATTATTTATTGTCAGTTCACTTTTAGCCATTGATTCGGCGCTAGTTTTTCTTATTGTTTGTAACTCAAGTGTCAATTTTTCTAGTCTTTCGTCCTTATTCACATCGCTTGTTTGTTGTACAGTTAATAATTCCAATTTTTCTGATAATTCTAATATCCTTTTTTCGGCGTCCGTAAGTTTGCATTGAAGTTGATTTTGTTTCTCGAGTTCTTCTTTCAGTTTTCCTTTTGATTCAATCAATTGTTTTTCGAATTCGTTTAATTGATTTTTTAAGTCATTTCGTTTGCTCCTGCTTTCTCTTTTGTATTCATCGAATTGTGTTTGTAGTTGTTTATTTAAATCGTCGTAATTTAATTTTTGGCCTTCATTTATATTTGTTAATTGTTTTATATCGCTTTCGGATTTTGCTAATAGCTCTTGTAGTTCTGTTACCTTTTCATATGTTTTCTGTAGATTTTCCAATTGTTTTTCCTTGTCAACAATTTGAACTCTTAAAGTTTTTGTTTCATTGGTCAGAGATTCTACTTCCTTTTTGTATTTTTCTTTTAATTGTTCGTTTTCCGACTGTAGCGCATTAAAATTGTTCTGTGTTTCATTGGATTCCGATTTTAAAGAATTCTTCAATTTGGTTAACTCAATTTCACGTTCTTCTAAAGCTTTATCTTTGCTTGTTATGTTTATTCTAATCTCAGTTATTTCTTCTTCTAACTTTTTAATTTTCTGAGCATCTGCTGTGATCTGGTCGAGATGTGTTTTTAATAAACCATCTTTTTCCCCTATTTCTTTCGATAAGTTGTCTGTAACGGTGGTATTTACTTTAATAACTTTTTCAGCTTCTTCTAATTTAACTCTTAAATCTTTAAGTTCATTTGAAACATCGTTATGTTTTGATTCCAGAAGTGTTTTTTCGTTAGAAATTATTAGCAAATCCTTCTTTAGCGCTTCCATTTGGTCTAATTGCTCTTTTAACATGGATTCTTCTGCAGTTGAATTGCTGACTAAATTATCATACTTTTGTTTTATTGCTAGAGCTTCTGCCGTTAAATTATTGAATTGTTCTTCCAATTTTTGTTTACTGTCGGTTACTTTACCTAACTCTTCATTTACTGAAGCCAATTGGCGATCCTTTTCAGAAATTAATTCTAAATGGGATTTCACGTCCACTTCAAACATTTCTGATTTAAGCGTTATTTCCTTTATATAATTTTGTTTTTCTTCTAGCAGGTCCTTCAGTCTTTGTTCTTCAGATTTACATTTATTCAACTCTTCGTTCACTGTAGCCAACTGATCTTGAATATGAACAATTTGCTTCTCGTGCTGAGCGGTTTTGTTATTCATTTGCGCTGTCATGTCATCCAAAACTTTTTGTAAAGAATCTTCGTGTTTTCTTGCTTCTTCGAGTTTATTATTTAAGTCATTTTGTGCTTCAGTGAGCTGGTCAACCTTTTCCATCAGTTTTACTTCAGATGTTGCCCCCTCAGCTTTAAGCATCGACACATCTTCCTTGTACCTATCGATTTCCATTTCTAACTTCTTACGTATTGAGTCATATTCAATACTTAATTCTTGTTCTTTCGCTCTTAAACCTTCTATTTCTCTCTTAAGAATTGAATTTTCATCTATTAATGAATCGTTCTGATTTTCTAGTTCTTTTGTGTGATTGCTAAGTTCTAGAGCATGCATTTCATATTCCTTAATTTTGATTTCTTCTACTTTTTGTTTTTCCATGTTTTCATTTATCGTATCTAATAATTGACCTCGCTCTACTGAAAAATCTTCTTGCAGCTTGAACAGCTTCTGCTTTAATTCTTGTTCTACTCGTCCATAATTGTTAGTGACTTCTCTATGTTTATCTCTTAGTTCCTGAAGATCTTTTTCAGTATCTTTCAAATGTTGAGATAACTTGTTGAATTGTTCATTTGAATCTGTCGTCTGGCCTGTAAGGTTCATATACTCGTTTTCTATCTTCTCTTTTGTCACCTGCAGTTCTTCACATTTTTCTAAACTACTATTCAGTTGCCGTTTTAGTTCTCCTATTTCTAATTCCATAGCTGCCATCTTTTCTTTTAGATTAGTATTAGCTTGGGTTAATTCTTCAATAGATTGTTTTAGACGTTCATTTTCTAATTTTAATGCCTTCAATTCATCTACGTTAAGCGTAAACTGTGAGTTTAGTGTATCCAATTCTATTTTACTTTGATCTAAGGCTAGTTTATGACTTTCTATTTCTTTAATTAGCTGCTCTATTTTAGAATTGCGATCATCGATTTCCTTTTTATGCTCTTCTGCAATTTTGCTGTGCTTAATATTGAAGTTAGCTGTAGCTTGTTCAAACTCATCTTTAAGCTTTATTATCTCCTTATCTCTTTCGTGTAGCGTTTCCTTATACTCGCTGATCACTTTTTCATTAGAATTGGAAGATTCACTAGTCTCGGAGAGAAGTCTTTCATAATCTTTTGTCTTAGATTGTAGATTTTGTTGCAATTTCAAAATTTCTGCTTTGTTTTTCTCGTTTTGTTGAGATACTTCATTTAAAAATGTTTCATACTCATTCTCTTTATTTGTTAGATCTTCTTTGATTCGACTCAATTCCTCTTGCAGACTTTTGAACACATTGTCTTGTTTCTTCTTTGAATCCTCTAATTGTTCTAAGTCTAATATTTTAGCGCTTAATTCCATTTTTAGCTTTGTAATTTCCTTATTCAGGCTAACTTCATGTTCTTTACTCATTCCTAAAACTGAAAGAAAGGATACCGTTAGTTAAACTAGAATTTACAACACAACTTTATGCATAATGTTTTAAAACCTATTACCTTTATTTAATTCCAATGTTTTATCATCAAGGACGGCTTGAAGTTGTGTTATTTTAGTATTGAGATCGATAACTGTTTGATTATTCTCTTTGTTAAGCCTTTCTATGTTCTGTTTCTCAGCATCTAGTTTTGATTCAGCTAACTGTAATTTGGCAGTCAAAACAGAAACCTGTGTTTCAAATTCCGTTTGAGCGATTGCTATTTTAGTTTTAGCTTCATTTAATGTTTTTTCATATTCTGCTTTAACACGAGTTAACTCTTCGGACATACTTTTGCCTAGAGAGTCTTTTTCATTTTCTTTTTCTTTAAGTAGTGCATATGCTTCGTCTAATAATTTCTGCAGTTCTGATGATAAAGCTAAAATGTTTAAACCATTCATAAAACAAATTGTTAATTATGTTCTTATTGTAAAGATGTAAGGTTACTGACTATGAGCGGCGGAAAGTTCTTCCTTGTGTTGTTCTGCCACGGCGGCGACTTCGATAGTGCGTTGATCTTCAAGTGCTTTCAGCGCTCCGGCTGTAGTGTCAGCTCTAGCGGACTGCAGCGCTATCTCTGCTTCCAGTTCACGAATGTGTTTCTCTCTAGCTGCCTTCTCTTGCTGAAATTTAAGAAATTAATTCGAATATAAAAGTTAAACAAAGTATATACTACTTAAACTAGTTAAGATAGGAATTAAACTCTTCTTATTTGTAGTCGATTTACTAACCTCCATGGCATCCTTATATCTCTGAAAAATAAAAAATATATTATTAATACTGGTAATAACAACAGCATTTTTTTTAACGTGTAAGAAATTAAATCAATGCTTTTTATTTAAATTCTTACATTATAATCTTCTCGATTAATATTCTCTTCTTCGTTTCGGAACATGAGGTCTTCCACCTTCTGCTTTTCGTCCTCCAACATTTTATTGAGTTTGTCCAGTTCGATTTTAAGTTTTGCATTTTCTGTGCTGGCCTGTAACAGTGTTTTTATTTTAACGTGTTTTTTCTTTATTTTTACATACAACAAAATCTTAAAACAAAAAATTAGATATTCGTACCTGTGTTGCTTCTTTTTTAATAATTTCCAAGGCGGTCTCCGCTCTTTCCGCCTGGAGGGACACTTTGGCGATCTCTGCGCGCTCCAATTCTCGTTCACGCATCAACCGCTCCAAGTGATGTTGTTTCTCCCGCAATAGCTCCTGTAGTTTAACACAAATATGTCTCATATAAACAACATAAGTTACACTATTTGTTAATACGTGTAACTACGATTTGTGAAGTAAATTAAATTTAAAATGTTCCACAATTAACCATTATCTTTGTAGTACAATTTTTGCTTTAGAAATATTGAAAATACATCAAATTTGTATCAATTGCTACACTCACTATCGTGAAGCGGTCACCGATATCTAATAACCACATTAAAAGACTGCTTAAACAATAAATAAACAACTGTGTGTGATACAAAACAATGAGCAAAAGTAAAAGTTAAATTATATCTGTAAAGTTATCTTCATTCAGGAAAATCTCCGTTGTCCCAATTGCTGATTACTTCAAAGCACTTCGTCAGGCAGCTAAAATTCGTATACAATCTGAACCATTATCCGAAGCTCTTCAGAGACACAGTAGACTGAAAAGCGTACTTCTTTTCCACCGAGAATCTTTGCTTTATCCATGGTTTGCTTCACTTCACGATTGTTTGTTGTAGTTCACATTTCAAAAGGTTTATCAAATTTAATTTTCGAATACCCACATCATTAAGGCGCGATAACTCCGACAATTCTATACAATTCCACTTGTTTCTGTTGTAACAAAGGGAAATCAACTTTTAGGTGTATTAAAATAGCTTTGTACGACTGTGGGTTTGCACTGTAAATACGCAAAAAAAACATATTGCAATCTCACATATTCTCTTTGAAAACAAAAATAACTAATGTTAAACAAAATCTTTAAAACACCGGACGACAATTAAAATTAAAAACAAAGGTACAGACCATAGACAGTAGAACAATTAACTTAGACATTGTACCTACATTGTTTTTTAATTGGCCATCGATTAGTTGATATCATAAAACATTATGGTAATGTCGCATAACTCGCGACATATTCGGTTCCCACTGACTAATAACGTTAATTATATCTATTACTAAACGTCATGCATAATTTATTTTATCTATGATGTAAGTTTATGAATTAAATTGTCCCGATCGAGAATTATGGCTATTATAATAAAACCGGTCTTACAACTTTTTTCACCATAACGTATTTGTGCAGTGTTTCTCAACAGAGAATTTGTGTTGTACCGTCGCATGCATCATTCTTAGATATCTGTACGTTTAGAAACCAAGTATAATAATAGCTCGACACTAGTTTAGTGAAATAATCAGTGCTAAATATTTACTACGTGCAATTAAAAAAAACCAGACTAAGTAGCCTTTGTGTTCTTCCAGACTATCGACATCTACACGAAATTTCATGGAAATCCGTTCAGCTTAGTCTACAAACTCTAACATACATCCAAACTTTCGTATTTTTTAATATGATTTAGAAGTAAGATTAACGTAAATTAAATCAATGTATCATTTAATTAATTAGATTGCTTTAGAGGTCAAAACATGCCGTCAGCATGTCGAGTACCAAGTCGAGATAATAGTTAACTTAGCGTAGGTTGGATTAACTTCAGTTCTATATTTATACATTATGAGTTAATTATTATAATAAAGAGATCATGTTTTACATGTCACATCATTTTCATATTTCATCATCTGTCGAAGTCCATTGCAAATAGGCGAAGTCAGTTAATGTATATTTAATTACCATTTTTTTTAATTTAAAGGATAACCAAGGCTGTATGAAAAACAAACAATTCGGATGAAAATAAAGACAGAGTTGTGGATAACAACCAAAATGAAATGTATTTTACAACCCTCTCTTCCGTCGAAGCAACCATACAAATGTTGAGAAATTCGATCTTCACACGAATCGTGTACTAATTAAATTGTATGACGTCTCGATATTGGATATGTTTACTGCGTTTTTATTTTAGGTACTAAAGGGATTTTGTGACGCATGTTACCTTATAGGAGTTCCAAATATCGATGGACTTGTTTTGACTCCTTTATCTTTGCACGATAGTGGGATCTGATTTACGAAACCTTTTGAGATCGGCATCAACAATAATTGTTTAAAATTAATATTAACGATATTCTGAGAGATTACAGCATCGAGAGCACGGCAGTAGCGCACGGCGCATTAACGCCCTCCTACACGACCTAGGGTTGCCTCCTCTCTGGTTTTGCAAAATGCATATACTGGTTACGACTTTAACTGGATATCTTCGGGTTATCTATACTAATATTATAAAGAGGAAAGATTTGTACCTTTGTATGTATTGAAATAACTCAAAATCTACTGGGCCGATTAAAAATAATTCCACCGTTAGAAAGATAATTTCTGTGAATAACATATGCTATATATTTTAATTTCACAAGGGCGAAGTCGCGAGCAACAGCTAGTATTGAAATTGAAATAGTAAATCAAGTGAATAGATGGCTTTTTCCGCTAAGAAACAATAGTGAACGTCGTTTTTTGTCACTGCATTCATTATTTTTAAGTTGTGTGAGTTAACAAGTCTCTTGTATATTTTTTTATCGTTAATCGTTGGACGTTAGTTGATAGGCAACCCTAACATGATCAGTTGCTAATTGCTCACCGTTCCCACCGCGTACTGTATCGCTTCTAGTGACTAATATTACTGTTTGTTTACTATACCATGCAAAAAGGTATTGGCGTTAATCATTTTTTCCTAAATAATCATATTCCCCTTAGGTGTAACTTACTAAAGCAAACAAGTATTAACATCAATTACTTTATCTGACCATATTAATGTTTACTTTTCAAACCCATTAAAACTGGGTTTAGAAAAGTAAACTCTTCACATCTAGGCTTAATTGATACATTTTGTGCTAAAACCTAAGCTAGTTGCGTGAAAAAATCCTGTATCGATGAAATTCCTTATATAGCTCTTATAAATTACTTCACACTAAAAGGTTTTACATATTGATCTTGTAGAAAAACGTTAATAAATTAGATCCAGTGGAATTAAATTTCAGTATATCTTTAGTAGAACAGAGTGTAATAGGGTTTATATTTGACCGACTTCCCATAAGGAGGTATTCAATTCATCTGTATATTTTTTTGTACAGAAGTCTCGTTAGACCATCGAAACCCAACTTGGCGTACGCATATATACAAAGTGCACCACTTATGGCCAATTGACATTGGGTTGAGTTAAAGAAGCACCATTCAAACTTTAAATATTTTTAAGTATACCTTTGGTATGTACAAGAGCAGTGTATTTGCAGGATTTTGGTATCATGCAATTCTCCTTACCCATAGCTTAGAAGCATAGCTACTTCGATACATAATGTATCAAGATCGTTATGTAGTTTAAATGAATCTGATGGTAATCAGAAGTCTACGATCACTTTTTTTTTATAAATTAATCAGAAAATATATTTACAGGTTCGTGTATTCAAACATCCAAGCACCAAACCGACCCATCCGACGTATAGAGTTACTTATATCAAATCTGACGTAAAGAGATCTGTTAACATATAACTCGTTTCGTCGTGAAGTCGACATGCAATCACAAGCATAACATTATTGCAATAAAACCACATATGTTAGTTATAGGAATATTTTATTATGCAGAAAAAATATTGGGATAAAATAATTAAGACACCACACTTCAGACATTGTTTTATTAAATCTTAATATTAATGCATATTTTTAATATTATTCATACATAGTAAATATCTAAAGCAAGCTTATAAAACTCCTAAGAACTATATAGACATAAATGCTTCAATTATACATGCAAAAGTACTAATTAAATTTTCAGAAATACCAATTTTATTGAAAGTTAAACAGTTTATAAATACTTAGGTTACACTTGAGAAAGTTTTTTTTTTATTTACGCGTCTACACAATTCTTAGGTCTACATCGTTACTATAAAATACAAGACTAAGTCGTCATAAAAGACATTATTCATAAGATATAAGGAATGCCTAATTACACGAGTCCTTAACTAAATGAATATCATCAATTCTTACAGGCACTGGGATAAAATAAAACAATAAATAAATTTGTTTCCATTGCGACAAAATAAATGTAGCAAAAATTGGACAATACATTTTGTATATACGCGAAAGAGTTCAAAATCAAATATCACAGTTTTTTGCCTTAGACAAACGCTAATATGGAGATTGTATCACATAAAATCACAACATGACACATTTTGTAAACAAAATCTGGTTTATTGTGGAACATTTATTTTTGTACTTTTCTGTGCATTATTATCAAGTTTAAGTTATTACAAATCATTAATTAAAATTCGTGGAATATAGAACTATTACCTATTGTTAATCCTTAATAGTAGAATTTTAAACAAGTGAAAACAAAATCACTCGAAAAAACTTTTTGTTAGAAATAATTCAACAACATTCAAAAGTTACAATTAAAGAAATTCCCAACAATTACATTGCGATAGCCGGGATAGGTAACCACAATGCGCTTTAAATCAAAAGAAAAAAAAATATTTTGCAATCTTTCTAAACAAAAAGTATAATTTAAGCCATTTTCTCGAAATGCCATATTTTTTAATTCAACATTTAAAATGTCAAATTTTAAAAACTCAATAAAATAGCTTAAATGATACGAAATATGTTTATTGATTAGCAAGAGTTGCAAAATGTCTTTTGACATGAAGCCCACGTATGATTTTCAACCAATATACCGAGCCTACACTAATGATTTATAGATGTCGTATCGTTACCATAGGAGTAAGAGAGACAACCGTATCCAAAACAAAAGAATATGGCATTCGATATCTAACCAAATGAGACTTGAGATTTACAAAAGATAGTCTAAACAAGATTGAGATAAGGTTTAAGTTTCAGGTAAAATAAAACGATTGAAATAAAGGAAGATTAGGACAAGGAGAGCAGGAAGGATACGGGGTCTTTTTGATATCTAACGATACGAGATCTACTATATGCCATAGGTGGGCACGATATTCCCGGCTTACCGCGCTGCGATCGTGGGATACTGTACCTGCAACGCGTTCTTGGCGCTGACGGGTGTGGACGAGGCTCTCGGACCGACTCGCTGCCGTGCCGTTAGTGACAGTGCGAACGCGCAAACAAACATGGGGAGAACAGAATAAAACAACACGCGTTAACGCACTCAATTCCCACTGCAGCTATACTACATAGCAAAGCTGTAACCTGTACACAGAATGCTATAAGATTTTGTTGTTTATTTACTCGCTTTGTGTAGAACAGCCTTAGTAAGATAAATCCAGTTGCTTTAATTTTTTTTTGTTGTCAATGTTGCTTAGAGTCTAAGCGATATCATATTAGTAACACAATTTGATTTATTACCCTAGTTTCGGTATCTTATCACTTTCTGTGTACAGAAAATAATTAAAAAAATCAAAACAAACACAAATCGGATTAATATCAGTAAAATTAAATTATAACAAAATATAATTTTAAATCAATGGTGGAAATGCATAACCGCTATTTGGGAGTGCATAAGAAATACTTGGAACAGTTGTTTGATCAACAACTGTTTATATTCTTAGCAAAAATGATCAAACAAATGGTCTTGTGTTCTTGTCGTAGTGCTAATGCAATTCTAAGTATACTTAAAAAATAAACTTTTCTGAGATGCATTGTGAAATTCAACACTAAAAAACAATATTATACTCGTAAACGTAAATAAAAATATATCTTTGGCAACAAATTATTGTCAACTTTTAATTCATGCCGAAGTGAATTATTGTAAATTAAGCAAAAAAATTAAAGTATGTAATAGTAAAAAAGACATCATCACAAATATGTGTCTTATATGAGATCTTAAAATAATATCACAGATTAAATCATAATAAACTTCTACGATATGACTACGACAGTCTCTTTATTATTCAGTGCGGGACAAACTGTGACATGAATAGCTTGATAAGAGCGAAATAAAATCAACTCGAGTTAGTATGATGAATTAAAAATAATTGTTAGTAACATAAAATAAAGACAAGGGCCAAACCAAGGGGTGCCAACTACAAACAAAATAAAACCGATGCTCATGCAGACGGTAAGCACACCTACTGCACTAACCATATCTCCTGCTGCTCTTTATTTGTGCCAATGAATTAATTGTAAATGCTATGAATGGAGGAAAATAATCAGGACGGACAATATTCAGGGGCGCCTCGCACCTCTGAACATGTTTCGGAACCATCGGTTATCATATGAAGGAACTATCGCGTTTAAATGTATACAACGTTGGGGTAGGTGAACTGGAAGGGCGAGACGCAGGAGAAGTGGTAGGTCTTGCCGAAGCCGGAGAAGTGAGT